AACCGAGTTGTAGAGTCTTTGTAAGGTGCTACAAAACTAGATCTGCAAATAAACAAAAGATGCCTTCTGCAAACACACAAAAGTTTTGCCAAAGAGAGGCTAGATGTGTAAAATGTGCTGGTAATCATATGACAGCTTAGTGCAACAAAAAGGATAATTTTCAACCCAAATGTGCGAACTGCTATGAGGCACACCCTGCTAGCTATCGAGGCTGTTTGGTTGCAAAAGAATTGCAAAAAAGAAGATTGAAAAAGAATAAGACCAAACAAAACCAAGTTAAATTTAATGAACAAAGAACTCCAAAAATAGACAGAATGACGGCACCTAGTAAGGTCTTAAAGGGAGTATCTTATTCACAAGCGCTTCAAAGCAAAACCCTACAAAAAAAGAAAATGAAGGAACCTGGGAACAAAACCCCACAAATAAAAAGAACTGACGCAGACATTATGCAAATGATGCATAGCATGTTGATTAGAATTGACGAGATCTCTAAAAGATTATTTAACATAGAAAATGCATACATAGAGATGTATACGGGGACACCGAAGAAGTTGAAAAAAGATCTACGTAAATGAGGTACGTATAGTAACGTGGAATGCTAATGACATGTTATACGAGCCTTAAAATAAAGGGCTATGATTGCTATAAAGCGGTACATCCCAGCAATCAGCCAAGAGGAGGTAGTGCAATACTAATAAAAGAAAGTATAGAACATAATGAAGAACTCAAGATAGAAATGGTTGAAATTCTGCTTATTTCGATAAAAATTAAATCGACTAAACAGGACTGTAGTGTTGGTGCTGTAAATTGCAACATTAAGAAAAATACTTTTAAAGATCTCCTGTACAATCATGAACACAGATATCTAATAGGAGGTGAATATAATGCCAAACATACAGATTGGGGTTCTAGAATCACATCAACTAGAGGAAGAGAGCTAAGAAAAGCTGTTCAAGAGTTAGGTTGTTGCTATCACTCCACTGGCACTCCTACTTATTGGCCTACTGACACTAACAAGATTCCTGATGTTATTGACTTTTTTAGAACCAAAAAAATATCAGAAAACTTTCTAAGTCTTGAAGATAACTATGATTTTAATTCGGATCACTCTGCTGTCTTATTAAAACTAAGTGAAAAAATAACTAAAACATTATTTAGGCCCAGTTTAACAAATAGCACTACGGATTGGGTGAGCTTTAGATACGAAGTAATAAACAATATTGACGTAAATATTAATATACAATCAAGAAAGCAATTAAATGTGGAGTTAGAAGGATTTATTAAAATCATACAAAGAGCTGCATGGAACAATACAAAAATGTCAAAGTACAAACCGACAGCAAATAGCTATCCTCGAGAAATAACTGATTTAGTAGGTGAAAAGAGAAGGGCAACGTTCGCGTCACCCTGATGATAAAACTGTTTTAAACAGACTTTCCCAGGTGTTTAAAAGAAAAACCCAAGAATTTAAGTCGGCAACATACGAGAATTATATAAAGAACTTGTCAGCTACGAGGGAACCGAGCAAAAGCAGACCGATTAGGCACGCTCCGACACTGATGAAAGCAAATGGCAGTTGGGCGAGGAGCAATATAGAGAAGGCCGAATTGTTTGCTGATCACTTGGAAAACATGTTCACGCCAAATGGAATAACCTCACATGTGGGTTTGGTAGAATCTATCGCAAATGAAGCAGACAGCATAGCTCCACTTACACAATTAGAGGTTGCGGAAGAGATAAGATCCCTGAAGTTGACAAAATCGCCAGGTTTTGATCTTATTACTGCGGAAGTACTGAGAGAGCTACCAGGCGAGTCGCTGGAACATCTGACGAAAATCATGAATGCAGCTATGGATTTAAGGTATGTTTCTTGTGCTTGGAAAGTCGCGGAGGTAATTAGGGTGCCGAAACCCGGGGAAGTCCTTGAGGGAAACAAAGTCTTACAGGCCCATTTCACTGTTACCAATGATGTCTAAGCTTTTTGAAAAACTGCTATTAAGGAGATTGAAGCCAATAATAGAAAATAGGGGCCTAATACCGAACCATCAATTTGGTTTTACAAGAAACCATTTTACAATAGACCAGGTCCATAGAACAACTAATATTATAGAAATGGGCTTGGAAAATAAGGAGATCTGCTCTTCCATGTTTGTAGACGTAGCACAGGCATTTGACAAGGTGTGACACAGGGGCCTTATACTTAAGTTAGGGCAAATGTTACCATCGTCATTTGTAGAAATTTTGAAATCTTACTTAGCTGATAGATTATTTAGAATTAAACAAGATGCTGAATACTCCACGCTAAGAGAAATAAAGAGCATATAAAGAAGAAACACATAGAATTAGAAAATAAATATAGTGAAAATTATTGGCTCCTAGGTCGTAAGTCCAATTTGGCAATTGATAATAAAATCTTAATTTATAACCAAATCATTAAACCAATATGGCGATATGGCACTCAGCTGTGGGATTGTGCCAAAAAGACTCACATTAACAAATAAAAATGCGCCATGGTATATACGTAACAGTGATATCCACAGGGACTTAGGAATTCCTTTGGTTGTGAATGAAATTAGGAGTTGTGCTATAAAGCATAGGGCTCGTCTAGAACAGCATGTAAATATGAAAGCAGCTCGGTTGCTAGACAATGGCGTTATGACTGAAAGACTTAAACGAACAAGACTATTCGATTTAACACGAAATACCAATTTCCTTATGGAAGGTATTTAATTCCTGCACGGAAAAACGAAGTAAGCGCGGAGGTAATAGTTGGTCTGTAGGACCAGTTTTATCCTTTCAGAATTTAGGTGATTTTTTAGGGTAGAAGTCATGCTCCCCCACTATCGGAAAAAAAAGGCAGATAGAGCCGTCCTTCTTCGTCTTTCGAGATTTTTTCACCTAGTAGAAAAAAAAAAATTTTATTTTTGCCTAAACCTTTTCTTTATTTAAAAAATTTAATTCTATATGTTCACCCGCAGTTTTAAAAAAATAGGTATACATTCATAATTATGTATGTTTGTGCTTAAAATTTTATTTCTAATTTTTTGAACAAAAAATTTTAAAATGTTGAATTCTAATACATTCATGTACATACATATATTTGAATAAAAATATTATTTTATTTTTGCTTAAACCTTTTCTTTATTTGAAACATTTATTTCTGTATATTACCCCCATGATTTAATAATTATGTGTTTTTAAATATTATTCAATTCATATAGAAAGCTTAAAAAAAATCAGTTAGGAAGCTTTAAAAAAAATATTCATACATATTTATGTACTTAACTATTATAACAATATTTTTTTGGAAATTTTCTTTAAACTTTTATATAATAATATTTATCTGTTATATATTAAAAAAAAATAAAACAAAAAATTTAAACAAAATAAAAAATATGTTTTTTTAAAATAATCCAAAAAAAGAAAAATACGACAACATCCAGGCAAGCATTGATCCAATAATCTTCTGGCTATGAGACTACCACGCTACCCACTTCTCAGGTTTCAGAAAGTACGGGTACTTCTAGAAGGGCTAGATACATGGGACAAAAGTCATTAAATAGAGTTTGCCTCTAGGGTCCCAGAAAAAGCGAGAATCCTAGCCGCCCTCCCCCTTCACCACCTCCCAAGTAGGGGTAATTTTTTATTTACTTTTGGTGGTATAAATATTGTATGTATATTCATATTTGGAAGTGTGAGTTATAACAAATAGTGATCAAATCTACATTGTTTTATAATAAGTATGTACGTACGCATTTAGTTATGTATTCTTTTCGCGATCTGTTGCAAAATGTATTAGTAAGCAAAACATAAGTGTACATTAAACTTCTTGACAATATATTTTTAGGGCAAAATTTTATAAGAAAATGTTATTCTATTGCATTAAACTTTTTACAAATAGGGTATTTTCAAAAAAATATTTAGAACGGAAACTCGCTGATATTGATTTGTAAGGGAGAAACTATGTTAATTTATTTTAAACAAAAATAAAATTATCAATTAATTATCAATAAAAAAAAGTTCATCTAGGAAATCGCATTTTTCAGGGTTCGAACCTGGGACTTTTTGCATAGAAATCGTATTCTATACACATAACACTATACACGTTAGAACTGGTGCTAGCTCATTCTACAGTGATGCGTTTTATTCGCATGTATTATAAACTCCAAATACATACATGCATGCATTTAAGAGCGATTTATTTTATGCGTATACAGTAATTTATCGCTTAGAGTGCTTATTGTAAAAGGTATTTTACAATTTTATGCGACATAACTCAAAGCGAGGTTCTAAAATAAATTACTCAAAAGGTATTAGATTACTTATTAGGAAAAATAAATATCTATATGCATATTACGGGAGTGTTTTTGAAGAAATAAAGGAAATTTAAAATATTTCAGCCACAGAATGGAACACAATTTCAAAACTACAGGCATAATACTTGCAAGGCTTGTAATGCAAGCACGCGCGACTAGTTTTATATAAATCTATTATGCAATATTTTTTATATTTTTGAAAATAATGTTTCATAATAACCATGAAAGTATGAAATGTAATAAATATATATTCATATGCACATCAAATATTCATATGTGTATATGAATATGTATGTACGTAAATATTTACATGTACTCAATTTGTATTAAAAAAGTGCAAGTTAAAGAAGAACGAAACATAAATAATTTGAAATTTTTCTGTACCTTCGAAGGTTTCTTTTTGACCTGAAATTTGCGTTTTTATATTTTCTTTATTACACAATATGTATGTACATACTACAGTTAGTACTATGACTTGATTTACGTAAGGCATTATTCTCCCAAGCGATAAAAAGTGTTATTGTAACTTATATTCTTTTTAACAATTTTTAAGCAAAAATAGGGGGATCTTACTTCTAATGTTTTTGTAGAATGGGTAAATTTCATTTTCTTAACAATAATTAATCTGATCTCACTTTCAAGATTTTATATGAGCGTTGTTAAAGCAAAATATCTTAATGTTAAGCAAGAATTTGGAAACATAAACCACTGCTGGTGTATTTCAAATGTATATAAATATTGTAAAAAATCTAAATTTTTTAATCAGTTTCTGTTATTCATTTAAACAAGACTATATTTTGATAACAAATATAAATTAATTAAACACTGAAATGAAGTATATGGTAAGTTTTAAATTTCTATTTTTTTTAAATAATCTTGTATTTATATAACATTATAAATGCATGTAAAAACGATAAAGTGTTAAAAACCTTAAAAAATATGAAAAGTTGCTAAACCAATGTGAAGAACACTTTGGAAATTTTTAAATAAATTTGGATTGAGTATTAAAGGCTACTACAGTCATTATGAATTTTAGTTTTTTAAAGAAATTATATTTAACAGTTTTTAAATCAGATTAACAGTTTCTAACTAACAGTGACAAAAAAAAACATTTTACGAATGAAACCCAAATGTTTACAATACTTGAAGTAATTAACACAGTTTAATTTTTAAAGTTTAATGTGAACTACGACTATGTAGTTTTATTTGTATTTTACAAATTTGGCTTTGTATTCTCGGAACAAACTACTAAACTGAAATTAAACTAGATATGCTTTTAAATTAAAATAAAAAGCTGACATTGTTTAATTTTTTTTTTTATCTTACCATGGGAGCTGTATAATATTATTGATTTTATAGTTATAGAACACCTATTTTCGATAACATTAAAGAAAGGTTTTAAGATACGTAAATATGTAAAAGTGAGACGGTGTGCGCGAAGCAAATCCATTTCGCTATCCTGTGCTTACGGTACTTCCTACCCTAGGCTTTTATTAAACGTTCCTATCAAAGATGTTTACTTGTATTTGCAGACAACGTCTTTCTCAGAGCCGGTTTCTTAATGTCATTACGGGATTCATTCTTTTCTGTGATGTCACTCCGGAATTGTTTTTATAGTTCACACAATTTTTGTAAGACCTCTGTCTAAACTTCTTACTATTTTGCTTATGTCCAGGAGCTTTATCAAAGGAGGGCACACATTTATGCACTTTTTAAGTAGAATATCTAAATGAATCTAGTCAAACAAAATTAGATATTTGTTTAAGATGTTTGCCGTGTAAAGCAAATTTATTATCTTCATTTTGTTGAACTAAAAAGCCCTTCTACAAAATGCATTAAGTTCGAAATATTGAATCAAAATTAAGATCAGATAATAAACCGTTGACTTGCAAAATATAGAAAATTATATCTATATACCAACCCAGCAGTAGTAACTTGACCTTGAATTCTCTACAAAAAATACATCTGCATAAATTTCATACATAGTATCTATATACACATGATAGAATAATAAAGTTGGGTCAAACCAATGGTTTGTATTATAGCACTTTTCCCTTCAACAAGTGAAAATTCTGCTTTTAAATATAGTTTATGTGTACCTACCACACTATTAAAATTATTTTCATTCATATATAAAACTATTTCTAGATTGCATGTATTTAGGATGACGCATATACGAGTATGCAGTCTTTGAAATAAAGCAAAAATTAATATAAAAAGGGGTTAACATAATGCTCGATTTTAAGGGTTAATTGTGTGAGTTAAGAAAAATAATTATGTTTTTTAATTTCATGGAATTTACCGTTAGCTTTTCGCGTTTATAAAAATTTGAAAAAACTTGCGGTTTCGGAAATATAAGGTGTCAAAAATTCAAATTTTACGAATTTCAAGAGGCGCTAACTTGAGAGGGGGTGGAGATGGAAAAAAATTTTCTTTTAACGAAATGAACTATTTGTTAATGTCTAAAAGCCCCTAATGAATTTCAAAGTTCTACATTATGGGGTCTAGAAGAAAACCGACATCAAAAATTTGGAAAAAAAGAACTTTAGATAACGGCAAATTTGAACGGCCATTTTGTTTTTCTAAAATTTAAGTATAGTATACCGCGCAAGGAGAAGCAAGCCACTGCCTTTCTGCGTTTGCAAAATTTCAAAAATGCTTATAGTTTCATTGCAACAAATATTTAAAAAAGGCCATTTTTAGGGTTTTGGGGGGGTATAACTTCTAGAGGGGGAGAGATAGGTAAAAATTTTGTTCTACGGAAATAAGTTTCTAGTAAAGATCTATGTACGCATGAAATTTCAGCTTTCTATCTTCAACGGTGTAGAAGTTTTGTAAACAAAAAAGTGTCCACGGAAGGACGGACGGACGGACGGACGGACAGAGTGAAACTTATAAGCACTTTTTTCAAAAATTTTTTTGGAAAAGTGCTAAAAACACTAACACTTCGCAAAAATACAATAATATTGAAATCCAACTATGCACAACATAAATACACGTTCTATCCTATTCCTATATAAACTTTACTATCATCGTACTTTGTTAACGTTAAGTACGCTGCAAATAAAGTAGGATATAAAGAAACATGTGAATTAGAGTTTGTATTCACTTCAATAAAAAAAATTTAATCTTTGGCGTATTAGCGTTTTTATCTGATTTTTATGGTTTTGCTTATATTCATTATAGAAAAAAATATATCTTATATTTACATATTACTCTAGAATATTAAAATTGTAAGCACGGCTGTAATTGAACGTCAATAATTCATTAGCAAACAAATAATGCAAAACGTCTTTTATTTGTATGTTATCTTATTTTTCTGATAAAAGTTTTGCGAAACTTTTTTGTACTACTTTATGAACCAATGTAGTCTTACAATTATTTTTTTTCCGTGCGTTAACCTACTCTTCGATATTAACATTGGTATAGAGCTGCCAAGGACACCACACAACTTAAAGAGATTGTTTTAAATATTTCAAAAACTAATGAATTAATACGAAATTTTTTAAAAATATGTCTAATACTATTTTACATATTTTTTCTAAGTCGCTTTCGAACGGTTTCCAAAAACTTCGTCGCAATCAAAACGTCGAAATTCAAGAAAAGTTCTTGTATAGAATTGCACTGAAATATGTATTAAAGATACGTTCTCGTTCTAAATGAAAGCATTTTTAAGTTTTTTATAAATTTAACATATTTATTAATACAAAAATTTAAAATATGAAAAATTAAAGGAATCGTTAAAATTAAAATAAAGCTTTAACACTTTCTCGGATTTCAAGACAAAATTCATATAAATTAAAAAAAATGTATAAATTGAAATAGATTTTTGAAATTTTGAAAAAAAAAATTGGTTAAAATTAAATATTCATTAAATTAAGATTGGAAAAAGGTTTTTCAATTATTACTGTTGGAATTTAGAATTTTTAATGTTTAGCAAAAATCAGCATCTAGCGTTATTGGGGATTCTGTGTCGGGTGATGTTGTTGGATGTGTAGACGTAGATGCTAATGGCAAAGCGAGGTATTAGTGTATTCTAATGTAATATTTTAAATATATTTCTGATTTTTGAATATTTCAAAATCAAGTTGTTTTACTCATTCCACGAAAAGTTTGGCAATCGTGTGCCTACTTTTATCCCAGATATATTTAGTGCGGGAAACTGCACTAAAACCTTAAAAACTAATTTTAAATACTTCAAAACAAGTTCTTGTGCTCAGATTGTTTTTACTTGTTATCACAAATTATATTTTTTTGTTGATTTTATTAATTAGCAGAAAATTTGTAATAAAAGCAATATGAAAATGTAAAAAATGAATCATTTATACAGTCTCCGCGATGTAGTAGGGATGAGAACAGGCATACATAATATAGAGTAGGGATGAAAACGGCATACATAACATAATATTATGAAATTGTGAATATGATTTTTTTTTGTTACGTTTTAGTATGTTACTTCTTTTATCGCAAAAATCTGGCCGCAATTTGTGTATTGTACAGGGTGTTTCGCATAAGGTGGCAAATAATTTCAGGGATGATTCCTTGATCAATTTCCAGTAAAAAATTGTATGGGTGGGGAAGAGTGCAGATATACTTATTTTCGAGCTACACTCTTTTAAAAAAGAAAAGTACCAGATTTTTCCTGCATATTAATAAATGCTGCAATTGATTTTTTATCATTACGCCTTACAATCAATTTGATCGGTGCTATAGTTTTCTAGATACCGTCTGTCAAATTTAGAATTTTGTTTTTTTTTTTCAATTTTTTTTTAGTTCTCGAAAATTTTCAAGTTCCTCGAAAATTTGTGTTATTTTTTTTCGATTGGCCATCATAAAATTCAAAAGTTAATCCACATAACATTTTCTCCATCTCTCAAAGTTTTGCGAGTAAAACGTGTTAAATGTGCATATTTAACACATGAAAAATGCATATTTCACACATTTCATCATGAATGGTTTGAAAAAAAAAACTGTGTGTAAGTTTTGTATGTTACTTTTTTAAGTATTAGAAAAAGAAACAAATAAAAAGAATTTATTTTATTCTTTCATTTAATCTTTTATTACTAAACTCGATGAAACCAAAACTTAAACTAAACTTTTTACTTTCTTAAATCTTATTATAAAAGTATTCAAAAATCAAATCGATTTTTGTTCAATTTCTTACATAGTAACATTAATTTATTAAAACAAGAAAAAAAATATAATTTACGTAATATTCTTCTTTTCAAATGCAATAAATTTTGTTTGTTGCACTTGAAAAGGAAATTGTGAAACAAATTTTTATTTTGCCGTTTTGTAAAATGATCCTTCAATTTTAATGAACGAAAAAAAATAATTTCATGTTTGCGTTTTCATGTAATTTAATATTTCAGTTAATGAACTTGAAAAATAAATGTGTTGAAATTTAGTTTTTTATATTTTAATTGTTTGTTCAAAATTAGGATAGGTCAAGTATTTAAGAAATAATAATAATAAGAATAATAAAAAAAAAGAAATCAGAAATTATGATTCTTATGTTTGAATTTAAATAAGTCATAAAATTGTTTAAGTTGAAATTTTAAGAATCATATAATCAATTTTATATTTTATTACTTTTAGAACTAATAGAGTTTAGTTCTATTATTCTGGATAAAATCTCATTGGTTGGATATATAACTCCCCCATCCTTAAGATTTTTGTTCTCCTGGGCAAAACATTGAGGATAATTTTTTTTATATTCTTTAAAGGTTTTTTTTTCTTGCTTTAATTAACATATAACTTAAAATGATTAAAATAAAAAGCATTATTATTACAAAAATTGTATTAAAATATGTTAAATTTTCATTAAAATTTCTTTTATTTTTAATTTCATGAATTTCTTTATTATTTTCTGATTGCTTTAGATTTAAATGCTCTAATTTAATTGTATTATTAATATTTTTAATTGTGGTATAATTCGGAATAACGATATTATACTTAAACTTTTTATTTTTGTTTGAAAATTTAATATTATTTATTTCAATAGTACAATTGTTAAAGTAAATTATATAATTTTTATTTAGTAAATATCTTATACCATTACAATCGCTCTTTAAAGTATGGTTTTGAGCATTTATTATTAAAATCATACCTTTATTTATTTCTTCTATCTTGTAACTTTTTTCAGAAGTTTTAGAACAATTATCATATGACATTATAACTAGGTTTGAAATACAATTTGAAGTTAATTGCAATTTTTTTATATATCTCTCCTGGGTAAGGTAATATGTTTTATTTTTGAAAGATATAATATCAGAACTTGGAATATCAACTAGTTCAAAGTTTGTATTTAGTAATCCAAATATTTTGTATTTAATAGCCTTTTCGGTGCTTAAAACTGGTATTGCCAAAACAAATACTTATTTATTATCATTTGTTGTTGCTAAGGAACTCTTAAGTTCTTGATTTTTAAAAACGTCGATATTATAAAGATCTATTTCTTCTGGTGTTAAGATTGATCTATTTATTATTTGGTGTTTGAAGAAGATTACGTTTTCTTGGTTTTTCTCAATTTCGTCGTTTAAAAGTTAATATTGGTAGGTATCTGCAAGTATTGCAATTGCTTAGTTATATTATTATTTTCCATTGAAACGTCAATTAATATGTGATTTTTGTTTATAGTTTTCTGTAAAATATTAAGATTGTTCTGAATGTTGTCGTTAATTTTTATTTGGTTATTATAATTTGTTATTAAATTATGGGTGTTTTGTTCAGAGTTTTTCATATGTTCTTCAATTTCAATTTTATCGTCTTCGTCCATTGTACCAAATATCCATTTTAAGAATGAACCACCAACGTTCATCAATGCTCTTTTATGTCTTTAAGGAATTAGTGTTTTAGTCGTATGTTTAATTTTATTAATTTTGTCAGTTAAAGTTTTTAAGATAACGTCGTCTTGTGATAATTTGTACGACTCGTTTATATAGGATTCTATAGTTTTAATAATATATTCGATTTCATTTAAATCGATAGTATGAAGAATTTTAATATAACTTAATATAACTACTGGGTAAAATCATGGAGGCGATTATAGTAATTTGAAAAAGTATTCTAAAAATGACTTTAATTTGATGGATTATCTGAAAAGAATTTATACTTTCTTTTAATTCTGGTAGGGTGTAAATTTTTATTGTTAATATCAGTGATTTTATTTGTGTATTTTTTCACTTTAATTTTTTTGTAGCGAGGGGGTTCTTTATGACGAACTATAGCCGGATTTTTTATTAATATTTCCGATTCGATTGGAATTTCGAAGTGTATTCTATCTTTATTTAATTTAGTAATAATTTTTTCTTTATTTTGATGTAACCTATCTTTAATTTCTTGAAGATTTGAAATTCTATTATTAATAAAATCTATTGGTTTAATTTTAGTTACCGAATGAATAGAATTATTATAAGCTTCTACAGCTTTTAGAATTTAGCTTCCTGTACCTTAATTTGGTTCCGTTAAGGATAATATTCTAATATGTTCAATAGTAGTTCCATGAGCCCTTTCTATATCTGAATTTCCTGTATGACTTTTAGGCGGAGTGAAGTGAACTTCAATATTTTCAAGTCTACAAAAGTCTGTATTATTTAAATTATCAAACTCATTGTCAAAAATATATTTTAAAGGTTTACCAAATAATGAATTTCTTTGTCTTAGGGCCTGAATTAATTTTACACTATTTCTATCATTTAGTTTAGCAATATAAAGATGTTTCGTGAACTTATCAATTGTGGTCAAAAATACTTCTTTTTTTAAATAATAAGTATCGACATGAACTAATTGATTTGGTTCAGAAGGTGTTTCGGTTATATTAAAATTATATTTGGTAGGTTTTCTATCGTATTTAGCTAAATTACAAATATCGCAATTATTTGCGAACTTATAAAAAAAAATCTTTTAGTTTTGGATAGAAATAACGATCTTTGACTTCATTAAAATTTTCTAATATTCCACGATGATTAGTTTTTTCGTGAAAATCTTTTATAATATTAATGAGATCATCCTCACTTTCTACATCTTGAGCTAATTTAGTACATTTAATTAATTTAATTTTTCTATTATTACCAAACAGTTCAATTAATTTTTTCTGTAAAATATTAAATTTACTATAATCTAATTCGGAGTAAATTGCAGTTATACCTTCTTTTATTGTTTTCCTCAAAATATCGTTTAAGTAATTTACATTGCATAAATCTTGTTCAGATATAAAAACTTTATAATATTTATTATATTTCACTATTATTTCGCTGGTTTTAGTTTTTACATGCAACGATGCAATTTTCTTTCAAAAAGTGAAATATTTTTAAAAACAAAAGACACTAAATTCTTTGCCCTGCACCTGTATAGGGTGAACCATAATTTCTACATTGATCAATATTTTTTTTAATATGGTCTAGATTAATTCAAAAAGAATTTTCATCATTTATAAATTTGTAGGTAACCAAAAAAGTTGTTATTGTTTTCAATTTTCAAAAAAATTGTAGAAAGTGATTTCCATTTTGATATTATAACCTACAACAATTTTGTTGCTAGCTGTGATACGCGTAAGTTATACTACAAAATGAAAAATAATATTTATGATAAAATACACAATATTTCTGGTGTCAAAATTCTCAAAACACTCATTTCCGGAAACCTAAAAGTGAAACGTGTTATGTGATTATTAATTTGAATTCTAACAAAATCTACATATATATACTTTGCAATACACATTATCGTTTTTAGAGAAACTTGTTTCATGCATAGAAAAAGTAAATATATAAGAACCTTTGATTAATTATCAACATTAACATGCATATAGAAAAAAAACATTTAAGTAGACATACTTGCTCATTACATTTTCAAGAAATACTAAATTTCCCACACCAGCAGCACTTGTACACCTTCAAACCATTAGATTTTCGAAACCGTGTTTCATCTTTGGAATGATATTTTGTTATTATACTCTGTATTGTCAATTTTTTACCAGTATTATGTAAGGTTTTCCGTACTGTCTGGAGGTTGCAACTTCCGCAGCGGTAGTGGCAATAGTTTTCTTACAATACCAACACACCACAAAAAATTTATATATGCATCTATCATGAATGATGTATACAAGAAACTTAACAATTATAATTTCATAAGCAAACTTTAATGATCAAATGATGAAGTTTTACTCAAAAAATTTAATGAAGGGCCTGATTGTCTGTCGCGCTATTTTACTCGACATGTGAGAAGAAAATAAGTAACTATCATATATTTATATGATGTAATTTTTGAGTCAGAAGATATGTTGGGTATTATGTATCTCGTTTTTTTCTAAAATAAATATACATATATGCAAAATTTATTCACTTCGTTTTTGAAAGTGGACATCCAGTCGATAATTTGAGAAAAAATGCAACAAGCCAATTGAAAAAATGAGTAATCTTATTGGAAAAAAGAAATACCAATTAGAAAAACCGAGAATTCTTATTTGAAAGACAGACTGCAAAACTTTTATGACGTTTTAGAAACACAAATGGCATTAACATATAAATTTATCCATAATATCTTCTCTTCTCTTCTCTTTATTCTTCTACTATGAGGAAAATAAAAAGGATCTTTTTCTTCAAGTTTTATACTGCGAATAAATCTTTTGCATAATTATATCAAAAAAAGAAGTCAAAAATATTATATTCTGTTAAAAATGCACACCAAAATTCCATCTATAAAATTAATTTATGGACGATAAGCAGTGAAACGTATGTCAATCATTGATAAAATAGAAATCTTGAAAAGACAATTATTGAAATTTTATACGAATTTTTTTTCCAAACCTTCTGATTTTATTTATTTGTGCTAAAACATAAGGTTACATAGCAAGTAAATACTCTAGGGTTGATATAATTCAATCGAGAAAAAAATGCTAAATAAAACAAGCAGCAAATAAGAGGCTCAAGAAAAAAAAACTCGTTGTTTTGCATTTATTGCTTTAATTTGGTCCAAAAATTATATTAAGTTTTTAATATTATTTTAGATCGCCCTTGTCCTCCTTTTTGTCGTTGTCAGTATTTATGCAGAAGAACAACTACAAGCATCTGATGAAAAAAAGACTGATAAGAGAGGTATTTATGGACTCGGCTACGGATACCCTGCCTTACATGGGTATTACGGTGGCTACAGAGGATATCATGGTAAGAAAATTTGGAAAATATATTAATACTTCTGCTTAAAGGAATAAAAGGAATAGGTACATCTTTTAATAAATTAAAATTGTATTAGGTCTAGTGATATTGGTAGCATAGTTCATTATTGTAAACAGTGTAATTAATTGCTGTTTAGGATTTTATTAATTATTTTTTGAATATGTCTAATTCTTTTTAGATTTTTATTTCTGCTCTTATTGTTTTTATATATGTACGGTACTTTGATAATTAATAATAAATTATATTAATTTAATAATGATAGTTAAGAAGACTGAATAGAAATGAAAATAATTTCCGACCGCTTTTTATACAATGCGAAATGTTATGTGATGGCACCAAATTTGTCAAGTTTTCGGTGGGAATGCATTTCTTTTAGAGAGTCCGTGCGTGCAATCGTGTATCTCAAGATCGGCTGAACCGATTTTGATGAAACTTTATATGTAGTTTATTTTTGCTATAGCCATCTTGGACTGATCAACTTCTGGAATATATTAAACCTCGGAAACTGGATTTTTTGAAGCCAATTTTACATTTTTGCGTATATAAGGAGAAATAATAAATGGGTTGTTAAAACAATAAATCCATAAATTTGTTGGAAAGATCAGGCCTCAGAAACCAATCTGGGACTGATCTTACATTTTTTACAACATCTACGGAACGGACCGATGGAATTTCTTGGAATTTGATATTTCAGCTCTGGTTTTTATTGAAACTAACTAGTGAACTTTTTAAGGAATTTTGGTGGCACAAAGCGAAATTCTACTAAGAGCCAAATTTACACTTTTCTGTAAAGTGGAAGTGTTCAAAATGAATTTTAATAATCTTTTGTAACATTTTCACTAAACTAGGTAATACACATTGCGGTCGATTTTATGCTGACAAAATCAGATTTTTTCATTTTGGAACCCTACGCTGCTCCTCAACTCTTTTACGACTTTTCCTAATACATACAATTATTATCGATAAGATCAAAATCTTTAGTCAATTTTTCATTAATTTCTTCAGTCATTAAGATAAATATATTTATGTATATCTAATATAAATATATGCATAAAAATAAAACTACATAATATGTATATAAAACTGGCTAATACATTACATAAAATATATAAAAATATCATATAATTCCTTATACTTTTAGAAGAACAAAATTTCTATTCACGTCAAGATCCCACGCTTTTGAAACTTTTGTTAAATATTTGATTTAAGTCAAATTTTATTCACATTTTAAATTATGTATACTATTAGTAAAAGTATTAAGTAATATTAATTAGTAATAGTATACACTCAAACAACAATATAATTTTATTATGAAAAATTTATAATTTTTTATTTTTTTCGAACTTTTTTCTACGGACGAACATTTTTCTAATGACTTACACATAAAATGATGTGTAAAAAGATGTGTCAATATGTTAAATAAATATTTCCTTAAAAACGATAAAAAATATAAAAGTGACCCTTGTAAAAGTCTAGTTCCGGGTGCTTAACATATCCCAGGGGTATTTTAAATAACCTATCTTATTATAAAGAATTTGTATGCAATGCGGTCGGAAAAAAGTGAGAATCAATGATTTATTTATGTTAATCTGAATGTTATAATTGAATTGATTTAAGGTCGATCAATTAAATTTACTTTAAGAGAAAATTTTATATTTTTAATGTTAACGTTTATAACGTTTTGCGAGTAGGAGATGCATTAACAAATAAAATATGTTCGTACTATATTATTTTTTCTACTCTATAATCTTCTAAAATTTTATATTTATTATTAAATAAAGCGAATAAAAAAAGGAATAGCAAAAACTTTCTTCGCAGTTTTCATATAGCGAGAAAAAATTAATTTTTTTATTGTTGACAGCAATTTTGAAATTCCTTTCCATTTTACGCATTTTGAGTAAAAAATTTTTTTAATTTGGTCAGATGTTTTGACAATTGATCAGGTAAGTGGACAAAGGGGTTGACTAACATTTTGACGAAAATTGAGCTGTTCGGATAAAACATCATTAAATTTCATACATTTTCAACTGTGATTACTCTTATAGCCAGAAACTTAATAGAAGACGAGACGAGCTAAGTAACAAAAAAATTAATATTTTTACAATGTGTTAATAATTTCGTTTCAATTCATTATTTAAGTAAAATAAGTCACTAGAACACATTCTTTTAAAGAATATTAGAATGAAATGCGAATTGTATTTTGGGTTGAATGCTTTTAAAGTATGGGTCGTGAAACTTTCAATCAATTTGAAATTTATTGTAGTAACTGAAATTTGACTGCTGACTAAACAATGTTGGAAATTCTGTTATAATTTTTAAAACAATTAGTACTACTGTTACTGTCTTGAGAAAAATTAAAAATATTCTCATTAAAACTAAAAGAAGCAACTTCATTATTCAAAATTAATTCATTTTCATTATCATACAATAGGTATTTCAAGATTGTATCTACATTGTTTAGACAAGAAAATAGTTCGAAGATATTTAAATCTCAAAGCGATACACTTTAATGAACATGAATGGTGAAAGATTTACTAACATTGATATATATAATGCCATATATATCTTTTAGGCCACCAAGTGGAAATTATTTTCCGAAATTTTGAATCGGAAAAAATTACAAAAACAATTCTTAATGCTTTATATTTTCGAAGTATGCCGTTTTTTGTGAAATTTTTGAGTATTCTTTATTATTCTTACTTTATTTGGAATAGTTTTAGAAATTGAAAAAAGCAATGAAATAAAAATGATTTCATTGCTTTTTTTTCAATTTCTTTTTAAATTCAATTTTTTATTCAAAAATTTTACTTTATAATTTAGTATCCTTCCATTTGGAAGACAAAAATGGTTGTCTGAGCTAAAAATTGCAATTTTTTTTTAAATGCATTTTTTAGATGGAATTTACCAACCGATGTTTTTGAAATTTAAATTGTTAATTTGAAAAAAATATGTAAAATCAGTAGAGCTAAAAATATTGATTAATTTCCTTCACACAAATAAATTCCGACACCTCTTCCATTTAAATTCCATACAAATTTGGAATTTACTTTTAGATTTTCTCTCTGAGCTTGATGGCCTGATAGATATATATGGCATTAATATATACAGTAGGAAATCTACAAACATTTGTATACGTTTGTACAAACAAATATTTGCATTATTTTTAAATTTGGAAAAATGAATTGTTGAAATGAACACTTACTTTACTCATCACAAAGAAAAGATATCGTTAGTAATGAGAAAGAAATGCAATACAGATTTTTTTTGCGGAAATAATTTTCTTTAACATCAGAGATGAGGCATTTTGTAAACTTTTAAGATTTTCAAATTTAAAATGTCACAATAATATGCACATTTATATTGTGTACATATATTATGTATGTACATATATTAATTCTATGAAACCTCAAAATTTTTTAATAAATTCAATAGAAATTACGATTGAAGGGCTTCAATAATAAAAAAATAAACAAATTTTTTGTTTTGAACACTCTGAGCTTAAAAACGGGAACCGATCTATGTATTTCTTGAATAGTCTAAATCTGTTCTGTCGAAGAAAATTTTTTTAATGATTTTAATGATTTTTTAATGATAAAAAAGTTTTAATACTTTTAAAATTAATTCAACTTGATCTAGATCTAGTAGACTTTTATAGTCGCATTTTTTTTTCAATGATTTCGTTATGAATAAATTATTCTATTTATGAGCTATAAATTTTTATTTCACACCTTTTTCAGGATATTATCCCGGATATTATGATGGATATGGATACGGATATCATGGTTTAGGATTGGGACACGGATATCATGGAGGATATGTTGGATATCCCTCATTAAGTCATTTTTAAACTGCGACAACTAAATTAAATTACTTTACTTTTAAAAATAATTAAACAAAAAAAATGTTTGACTTGACTCAGTTAAAATTGTTCTAGGCTGCATATTTTAAAAAATTTTAATAAAGTTAAAGCAGTTTTTTTAAAGTAACTTGTTTTTCAATATATTTAATTGATGAAAGATTATAAAACAATGTCCGAAATGTGTGGAAAAATCTGAAATTTATATTAAAATAATTCGAAATTTCAACGGAAATTTCAATCAACACAATACAGGCCACAAAAATTTTTTCCACAAGAAAAAATCTAGAAAATATTCTAGTACTTACTCTTTTTGTTCGCTCTAGCATTTACTCAATTCGGACAACGGTTTCGGGTAGCTGCCATACAACTCAAAGGGATTTTCTTAAATATTGCAAAAACTACTAAAGGTATAAATATATAAATGTGTATACGTATACCAAATTACATTCTACATATATTTTTAAATATTCAAAAAATATAAAGCTAGATTCATAAAACTTGGCAGCTGTGTGTCCAATTATAGGTCACCTATATTCCTGAAGTTTTGGTGGAATGGCTTGACAGGTTCAGGTAGAATGTATCCCTGAAGTGTTGATGGATTGGCTTCACAGGTTTCGGTGGCTGTCAAACAACTCCAAAAGCAAATTAAAAATATTCAAAAAAATAGTAAAGTTAGGTTCATAAAACTTGACAGTTGTGTGTCTAATTATAGGTCAGACATATCTGTACAGTTTCTATAAAGTGGTTTGACAGGTTCGAGTACTTGGTATACGACAATGAAAGCTAATTCTGGAAATTTGAAAAACAAATTTTAAACTCAGATTGCCACGGTGCAGGGTATAATTCCATCGGTGTACAATTCCGATTGAAACGTTTTTACTTGTTATATTACATCTCAGTGGACAGCACGCTGAGCCAAAATTGAAGTTCTGTTTAGTGGACTCAATTTTAACCATAATTAGTTTAGCCTCACTCGTCTCTATTTTTGTTTCTTCAATATGTTTTATGGTGTTGTTAATTAAAATAGCAATACCTCTTGTTGAATAAGTGCTAGGATGAGCTGGCCTATAATATTTATGAACCAACTATAATACAAATCATTCTCCAAGTGACTTTCCGACAACGGATATTCATCGTTATTTTTAGTTTAAAAAAAAAAACATCTATGCACGCTTTCTACCCACAACATAATTGGCGTTCCCCACACCACTTCGTATTTTATTTACTGATATTTTTTAGGAATCACCTCGGGGTCGCTCGTTATTAATCGTCAATTATTAGCTTATTTTACTACTATAAAGTGTATTTTTAATTAAGTAGTTAACATCATTCAAGTTTCGTAAATTCTTGGCAATATGTGTATTTTATTTATATTATTTTCTGTAATTTGGCATGCTACTTTCTAGTAGACTAGTTTGCCATTCTCTGGCAACCTATAGTTACTTGTTTGTTTTACCATAAAAACCTCCTTCTCATTCCGCAAAACCCTGTTTGTTTCGCACATCCCCACAGCTAGATACCATACAACCAAACCGGTTAAATAATTTAGTTATATAGCAGGATCTTATTCTGTATCGCCAATTTTGACTTGTGACCTAGGAGCCAATACATTTCTTTATGTTTTAATTCTTATTCTGCCTTTTTCTTCTTAACATGTTCTTTCCATTTTAGCTTAACATCCAGTGTAATTCCTAGATATTTCGCTGCATTTTCCTGCGCAACATTTACCCAATTTAAATTAACACGCGGGCGGTTTACAAGAACTTTATTTGCAAAATTTACTTGGTCCAGGCATCAAAACTATTGCTTGCCTGGTGCAACTTTCTTGTGGCGTCGTCAATATTTGATACTACTGCCATAATTGCAGTATCGTCAGCATATGTAGCTTTCAGTTGTGCTTTCTATTTAAGGCAAAGCTCTTGTAAAGAGAAGATATAGTATTGGACCCAAAATACTGCCCTGAGGCACACCTGCTCTTATTTCTCTAAGTGTGGAATAGTCCTCCTCCTGTTTAACTCTAAATATTTTGCCGGTTAAATAAGAAGAGAGATATCTAAATATTACTTTGGTAATATTTTTTCTGACTTGTATATCAATCTTTCGTGTCAAACCTTGTCAAAAGCCAGTGCCACGTCTACAAAAATTGTTGCACAAATTTGCTTTTCCTCTTGGGCTTGTTCAATGATATTTGTTATTCTATCCTGCTCTAATAATGTCCTGCTCTAAACCCAAATTGGTGGTTCGGAATTAGTGACCTCTCCTCAATTATAGGTACCATTTATATACTTCATATAGGTACCATAATATAGTAACTACTTTTCAAAAAGTTTCGACAAAATTGGTAGCAGAAAAATTGGTCTCATTTACAGGTTTACCAGGTTTTGGTATCATTAGAACTTCTGTCACCTTCCAAGCACTAGGCATTTATAATGCAGAATTCAATAAAAAAGTCAACATTGTTATACCCTTTTTCGGTAATTACTTCAGTATCTCAGAAGTAATTAAATTATAACCAGGTGCTTTCCTTGACTATAGTTTTTTTATTTCTTCTACTATTTCTCTTTGTGTAAATGGACTGATAACATTTTTCACTCTCACGTTTCCCATTGTAGTACTTATGTTTGAGTGTGTGTCATTTGGGCTAAAAATTTGTTCAAGATGATCTACAAATATTTCAGCCTTATCCTTATTTTTTATTGTTCGGCTGACAAATTTTTAATGTAATGATAAAATGAATCTTCTTTTATTTTTCTTATTTTTCTTTTTAGATTTTAAGTGAGTCGATTGAGTGCAGTTTTATCTGCCTCTCGTGAGTTGTGCCATCTGCGTCTAGCTCTTCTCTTTTCGCTTATCATATTCAGTATTTCCCTTGGGTAAGTCATATCCACGGATTTATACTCATATTGTTTTGTATTATTCCAGGCAGCGCTTTGTATGATTTTATTGAAATTCTCTACGTCAGAATCCAAATCATCTTGGGTTCGTACTTTAATTCTTAAGTTTATTTTATTCTCCATCTCATCTTTAAAACTAGTCCAGTCATTGGATTTATTAATCAACATGGGCTTATTTTGTTTCTTGGTAAGTGTCTCAGCTAAGTTTAATATAACTGCAGAATGATCCGAATCCAAATCAATAATGACGAGATTTTCTTCAAAGTAAGGAAGTCTAGCAGATCTGGTATCTTATTTCTATCACTTGGCCATTATGTTGGTCAACCAGTAGATTGGCAGTATTAACCAATCTCTTTAATAGCTTTTCTTAGCTTTCTATCTCTTGTTGAGGTCAATCTAGAACCCCAATCAATATATTTGGTATTATAGTCACCTCACAGAATAAACCTTTCTTTAAGGAGATTCAGGGGATCTTTAATTGAACCACTCTTTATAACCCGTTCTGTAGGACAGTAACGTTGCACACCAACATTGAAATTTTGTTTATAAGACTCTATTCGTACAGCGACAAATTGGCTATCGCCTCTTTCTACTTTACTTATTTCATTATGTTTTATATTATTCCTTATCAAAATGGCGCAACCATCTTTTAATTCATTATTAGGATGTGCAACTTTATATTCCATGTGACCATTTTTTTTATATTTGTTAACTATTTTAAATTTGTCTCCGTTACTAAACATATATCAATATTTTGGGTCCTTAGGAATATTTCTAATATACGCTTCTTATTAAGAATGCCATTTGCATTCCACGTCGCAATTCTTATTTTACCTTCGTCTATTATTTTTTATTCATTTTGGTGTACATACAAAAACATCATCGTGCTTGTCTTCTAATCTGTTTAATCTCAATGAGATTTCGTAGTTTTTATCATATTTTGCATCATTTGCATTATATTTATATTGCTTTCAGCAGGTTTTTGAAGTGATAAATCTCTTTGTTTTTTGATATGGTTATATGTTTCACCTCTCGCCACTTGCGCATATTTTTATTTGTTTCTGTTTTGCAAGGTCATTTTTCGTTCTTTATGATTCCTTTGCGACTATACAATCGCTGTAATTCGCAGGTGTCTGGGAGCAATTTGCATACTTTGGAGCTTTGATTTTTTGCTTAGTATAATTTATCGTTATATGGGGACCAGCACACTTGACACATTGAGCCAGACGCTGGCAAAACCTCTGTGTGTGTCCATATCGCTGACACCTTTCGCACTGAGGAACCAAATTATTTCTCCTTAGGGACTCAATTTTAATATTCATGTGTTGAGTAAATCAATTTTGTAGATTTTATTTATGTCCTCCGAATTTTCAAAGATCAACATGAAGAGGGGAAGTTGGATCATAGTGGTCTTGCTTTCTTTATTTTGCTTTCTACTATTATTAACAACTTCCACAACTTTAAAGCCCTTCTCTTTTAGCTCGTTTTAATATCTTCAGGTTGATACGAAGGATGCAAGCCTCTAGCCATCACCTTGAATCTTGTTCTTGATCAACATTGATTTTAAGTTGATTATTATTTATCATATTGACCCTAAAGTTTATTTTGGCTTCTTTTCTTTATTTTTGGATATTCCTTCAGATTGCTTAATATAACGGGTTTGATCTTTCTTGTAGTGCATTTATCTGCACAGATTTTGCTCACCTTGTCCTCAGGACTTATTTCAAGTAACATATCTGATCTTCGCTTTTTGCTCTTTGTCTTGAGAAACCAATTAATTTCTCGAGCCAGATCCTCCTCGTCTGTGCAGTATTCCACTTTGTTTATCGCAATTTTTTCCGTATTTATTTCTTTTATTGTATTACACTGCTTGATTCCAATTTAAGCTTATTATTTTCCTCTCTGAGATACTGGATTTAATTTTTGTAACTCTCTACAAAGCGCTTCTAGCTCACTTATTCTTATATATGAGTGGCAGTTATCAGTTTTCTGATCTTTTATTTCATTAACTGCACCCATATTGAAATTTTTCTGTTTGTCACCTTTGGACTTTTTTCTTCGCTTTAACCACATGGTGGTGTCCGCATGACCCGAGGTGTTCTTTTAAATTTTGGGAATGCCTATTAAAATTTTGCATTACATTCAGTTCTAAAAAAAGAACTTGTACGCTTAATGTTCTATTTAAAAGCCTATATTCTTGGAAATATTTTTCCCATACTCATCATCGTTTGCCTTACACA